TCTATTACTTCTTTATAGAGAAGTATAGCCGTATCTATACCGGGCTAGTTCTTATATAAGTCTCAGGGTAATATCTATTCCTATATAGCAGAAAATCCTATATACCAGAAAAAATAATAGATACTTTAACTTCAAGTATCTTAAAATCTATATATACCTTAATATCTCCTATATTTTCTTATAAGTTATATTTCATAGCTACTTTCGGATACCCTGACTCCCTCTTACTAGAAAATTATATTTATATTATTGCCCTTATACCTAATTTGTAATGAGTCTCCTTTTATAATATAATAGGCCTCTTTTATTATAGCTCTACTACCAAGCTTATAATATCCCTAATACTTATAAAGGAGTTATACGAGCTCTAAGGCCTTACTATAATACAGGGAATTATTATTAGCCTTAGTAGCTACTATAGTATACAGATTTATATAAGATTACTATATGGGTCGGTACCTCGGATTAAAGCGAGTAATAATTTTGGTTAGTATAAAACAACCCCGTATGCCCTATAATATTTATACTATAATTTCAATTATATAATTATTTACAAAGCATATACTAGGTATAGTAGGGCTGGTATATGTGGCTAATATGAGTGCTCGCCTGCGGCTCATATAAAGCCTTCGAAATTCATTAGAGTATTAGAATTTAATTAAGAAACATTAGAATAAGTAGTAAGTATATAAAGTTAGACAAAGTCTTAGGCTATGAAAAAGCAAGATTCCAAGTATTACTCGAGATCCAGAGTTGTCTCTTTATTCTCATCCTTTTTCTAAACCAGCCATTCTATTATTCTCTTAACCTCGCGCCGTATTAGTCAAGGAGCAGTACTAGAACCATTTCGTTTATAGCTACTACCTTAATTACCTCTTTAGTAATCTTAACCTTATTGCCATATTAGTTAAAGAATAATTCTATTACGGCCTCGCTCCCAGCTACTACCTTAACTATATCTTTAGTAATATTAACCTTATTACTATATTAGTCAAGGAGTAGTACTATTATCTTCTTACTAATATTCCAGTTCCCGGCTACTGCCTTAACTACTTCTTTAGTAATCTTGACCTCATTACTATACTAGTCGAGGAGCAGTACTATTACCTCCTTACTACTCTTATAGTTCCCAGCTACTTCTTTAAGTACCTCTTTAGTAATTTGGACCTCGCTACCATACTAGTCGAGAAGCAATACTATTACTTCTTTGCTACTATACTAGTTCCCGGCTACTACCTTAATTACTTTCTTAGTAATCTTGACCTTATTACTATACTAGTTGAGGAGTAATACTATTACCTCCTTACTACTGAGCCCAGCTACTGCCTTAACTACCTCTTTAGTAATTTGGACCTTATTACTATACTAGTCGAGAAGCAGTACTATTACCTCCTTACCGCTATTTCAGTTCCTAGCTACTGCCTCGACTACTTCTTTAGTAATTTGAACCTTATTACTATATTAGTCAAGGAGTAGTACTATTACCTCCTTACTATTATTTCGGTTCTTAGCTACTACCTTAGCCACCTCTTTAGTTACTAGGACCTTATTCCTTTTTAGACCTAATAAAAGTATTATTATTCCCTTATTAAATGACTTCATAACCTTGACTATATCTTCTTCTTTAACCTGAACATTATCTCTTATTTAACCTATTAGACTTATTATTAACTCTTGCTTCCCTATATCCGAATAGTATTAATCTATATAGGTTAATACTAGGTTGGCTATACTACTTAGTATATCTTAATAGTCTATTCCTTATATATATTTTCTTGTCTCTATTACTTATAAAAACAGATCCTCTGCCTTTGGCCACTGCTATTAATTCTTGTATATTAATATAAGGCTATCTATATCTATTAGTATATATAGATTCTCTTTTCCAAACTCTCTCTTATAATTCTCTATTACTTGTTAGAGCCTCTTTTTTACCTCTTTATACTCTTCCAAATCTCCTAAGACTAGTATTATATTATATAATCTTGCCGCTTTATTTAAAGCTGTCCTTAAATACTCCGGTACTAGAGTATTTACTCCTATTAAAGTTTTGTATTCTACTTAATCCTATAAAGTTCAAGGGAACTTTTCCCAATTCCAGACAAGTAGAAAATCATACGAGAATCTTTTTATTAAAGCCAGAGGTTCTTGACTCTCAAAATATCCGCTCTCTGTTTATACTAACTAGTATAGAGTAACTATAATAATAATAACAGCAAAATAATTCTTATATACTCGAATAATTATTGGCTTTAAAGCCCCTTTAAGTAGATAGACTAAGTCTTGCTTCCGGATGGGCTTTACCGAGGTTTGGAGAGTTCATTAAGTATTATATTTCTTATTATATTTCAAGGGCCTAGGTATATTCTTAAAAATAATATTTATATACTATCTATTATACCGAGTACTATTATCCTTTATTAAGGATACCTAGCCAAGGATATAGCCCTTACTCTTAATTACTACTATATTTCTCTTATTCCGAACCTCTATAGATACTTCTTTAAATAGAATAAATTCAATAAGTTACTACAAGAGTATCTTCTATAGAATATTATAGTCAGGTAATAAGCCAGCTATACTGGGATTATCGGAGTTCATACTGAGCAAGATATATATCTTATTATTAGATATAGTACTCTTGCAAGTATAGTATATATCTATTAGCTTATATAGAGAGAGTTTACCTAATTAACTTATTATATATTTTGGCCGGAAGATTACTTCCCTAATTAGGTAGGTTACTAAATGAATGAGACTTTATAAGCCTAGATCTGGATAGTCTTTATAGGAAAGCTCTAGCTTATTAAAACCTGAGTAGAAAGTATATCCGTTTATCTCTATAGAGCCATATATAATCAGAATACATTAAGCTAAGGCAACCTCCTAAAGTACCTAAATTGACTCTTTTTAGTAATTTCTCCGGATATTATTAACTGTTTACTAACTTACCCAGATATACCAAAACTATAATTATTTAAATAATTTGAGAATTACTTCTTGGGTCTTTTTACTAATTAATAAGTTCATAGACCCACCTTCTATAGTAGTATATATATCTTCGATTACTTAATTACTATTATATACTGCCTTTCCGAGATAAATAATAATACGGTTTACTTGGCCATAGATCTTTACTATAGACTAAATCTGGTATACTCTTTCTTGATTATTCTTTTAGTTAATGCAAATAGTATCTATTCATATAATTCATATAATAGAATAATCTCAAAGATGTAATAGTACTATATAAAGGTTTTCCGTAACGGGCAAGTCATACCTATATATAGAGATAAACTTGGAGGGTTCCAGACTACCCTATATATAGGATAAAGCTTTATACAGGTGAGTTCCCTTACTCGATTTTTGGAGGGAGTACTCGAAAATTTCGGATTATATAGGAGCAGTCTCGTTATTATATGGTATTAGGTAAAGCAAGCGAATATTAGACTCCGGGGAAAATAGAGGATAATAGTAGTAAGATATGGCATGAAATATAGTATATAGAAACTCGAATAAGACCGTATTAGATAGTTATAGAGTGGTATAATACGTTTGGTATATATAGTATTATTATTACAAATAGGCCCGTAATAGATATTAGACTATAGCCGGAAAAGTGGAATGCGGGATTCTATAGCTATATAAGATATGGCATTCTGTATTCAGTTATACTATATAGGCTATAAATGAAAAAAAAAAGGTATAATACTAGGAAAATATACTTAGATATAACTATTAGAAAGGGTAAAGCAAAATACTTTCGAATATATAAAAAGAAAGCAGTATTAATAATAATAAGAGATCTGAAACAGCGAGGCGAGCTACAAGGCAAAGCCACCAAGAGTTATTAGTAACCAAAGACGGATTATTATTTCCTTCTAGTACCCGAAAACCGGAATAATAAAACGCCGAAGGCCCTGTACTTTCTTCTCTTCAAAGAACCTTCTCTCTTTTAGCTCCCGCTAAAATTTCAAAGGCACCTGTCAGTAAGCGAATACCAGATCAGTGCCGTCTTCTCACTAACAATCGAAAGAATTATTTACCCAATCGGCTGTGGGTATAGAGAGATAAACTGCCAGTACTGAATGCCGACGAGAAGTGCTTTTTAATAGATCAATATTTGAAGACAAAATGAGGACTTAGCCGGAGCCTTTTATAGTATGACACGTTATGTGGCATTATCGTACTGTATTTAAACTATCGAAATGTCAAGAAGAGCAGATTGCGACTTGGAACTAATAATACATCCCGACCGATATTAATCCCTACTAGATTATCTTGGTCTTATTATAACTCGAATTATTACAGAAACCCAATTCTATTCGGCCCTTAATAGAGATAATATGCGAATTCAAATCCCGTATTAGTAGTTGCGGATATTACAAAGTAATACTATAGACTGTATATAATACCGCCAAGAAGAAGAAAAAGCCATGCGACTATAGCAGTAGTTCAGAGGACTCGAGTACTACAGGAGGGTTGTGTTATCTGGAGGGATGTAATGGGAAACCTAGTAGCAAATACGAGGGTCCTAGTAAGTTATTTTGATTATAGTCGTACCAAGGGAACATTACTAGTATTTGACTTAATGCGACCTAGGCAACCGCTCCGACGGCGGCTTTGACTCCGATAGCGTTGAACTGTGAGTTCTGACCCGGGAGAGCAGAGGCTAGTGAAAGAATGAAAGCTATGTCTCTAAGCGGGATATGCGGAGTATCTTCTATAGCAGCAAGGCGCGAGACTTCACTTAGTACTCTGTACTCTTCCTTATTACCTGTAATTTGAGCCATTTCCCATAGAATTTGCCCGACTATCCAAATATCATTCTGTTTCCGTGTTTTAATATCTTGAGCCAGTAGGTTCGGTTAATATCTCATCTCTGGCAATAGCTATTTTCGAGTTATACCTCCAATTCCGCTAGTATCGATTAGTATAGTATTGAGGTCTTTGCTAAGGATAATGTTTTCTGGTTTTAAATCCATATATATTATATTATTCTGGTAAAGAATATTAATTGAACGAGCGATCTGAACCGCCTATCGGTACTACGGGAAGTTGAGCTCTGGTAATTATAATACATTTTGCAACGTGCCGTTTGGATAGTACTCGAGAAGGATCCCTTGCAAACTGGTAGGATTATCGTCTTTGGCCTTTGCAGTTCGGTATGGATTGTCGGATATAACGACAGTAATAAGCCGCACGACACCCTTACTACTGCGTATCCGTTCCAAATTTCGCAGCTCCTGTTCCAAAACCTCAGTATCCCTCGGTACGTATAGTGGCCTGTCTACTTCCTTGTAGACATAGTCCATGCTATCAACGCATACCAAGTGTATACCATTACTAAGTTCTTGTATCTTCTTGATTTCCGACAAGTTTCTTGTACTACTACTGCCATTATATACCGGAAACCGTACCCGAAATGGATCTTCGCATATACAGAACCATAGATTGTCGACGATAGCGGCGTATTCGCTTTCCGTATCAAGTGATATCCTCAAATAGAGTCTCTGGCTATGCGTATCCTGCTGGCGTATAAGGAGAAGCTCGGTAATCGTATTAGCTAGGAGCTGTATAAGGTCGAAATCGATACAAAGGCAGAGGTTCTCGAGATCTTTCCGACGTTTCGTTACTTTGGCAAAGGTTCTGCTCTGGGCTGATTGGAGTTTGCCTTGAAAGGTAAGTTTGACATGCCACTTGCGATTGGGAGAATATAGAACAAGGTTCAGCCCTCTTGTCTTAGGCTCTATTCCCTTTCCCTCGGTCTCTTCCTTGTATGTCTTCGGTGTAAAATGAATCGTGCATGAGCCTAGGCGTGGAGTCGCAGACATAGCGGTAAGGATGATGCGCTTTCGAGATGGAAGCTCGACGTCAGCTTGGTTGCATTGCCGGGGAAACCTCGGGAAACGCGATCGTCCAGTCGTCACCCATAATAGTACTAGTGCATTCTTATCTCACGTGATTAACAAGAACTGATGCCGCTGACCTGATGGCGCGGAAAAGCTTTGGATGGGAACAAAAGTTGATGATGTAATTTCACTTAACCGAGATCCAAGGTCAACGCACGCCCAAGGTCAATGCACGCTCAAGTTTACCCGAATACTCGATATTAAATACTTAATTATTAAATAATTACTAATTGGAAAAATAAATTTCTTTAAGTTCTGTAAAGAGAAGAAGCCAAAGATTTAATATATAATTTTTCTTAATTAATCTTCAATTTTTAATAACCTTAAACTTAGCTTTTATTAAAATATTAAAAAACTTAATAATTTTAATTTAATATTTAATAATTATATCTATATAAGTTCTTTAAAGTTAATATTAGTAAGAATGCTTCATTATATATAGAAGTATAAGTATATAATATAAAAAGTTTATATTATTATATATTACTTATAAAATTTTACTTTTAACTTAAATTTTTAAATAAAATATTAAAAATTCTTAAAAGAAGCTTAAATTAAGAAATAATTAAAGAATTATATAATAAAAGCTTTCTTATATAAAACTTACTCAAAATGGTTATATTTCTTATATTAAATACTTATATAATTTGTAATTTATTATATATTAATTTATTAATATACTTTATTTTATATTCTTTACTTTATTATATAAATATTATAAGAAAAAATAATTAAAAAATACTTTTATTTATCTTTAATTTATTTATTTTTAATAAAAAAGAATATGTTTTTAAATAAAATATAAATATATTTTATTTATTATTAAAATAAATATTTCTTTTATGTAATTTAAAAGCATAATATATTTAAACGTTTTATAAAACTTTTAATAAATATACTATTCTTTTATTAATAATAATATTTTAAAAAAACTTAAAACTTTAAATAAATTATATTATTATATTAATATTTTTACTTAACTTTTAATTAGAACTGTTTTTTATAATATATTATTAATATAAGATTAATTACATTTATTATTTTCTTTCCTTTTATATAATTATTTTATAAATATTATATATTATTAATTTTCTGTTTTTAGCTTTAATATAAAAGAAGCCTTTTATATAAATTTTAATTTTTTATATTATAATTATCTTTGAAAAATAGTATACTAGTAATATAGAAATTTTAAAGTTAATTAGGTTATTAGCTCCTCATTTATTAAAGTTCAAAATTCGGGAGTTTTGGTGTAAAATGACCGTGCGTTGACTCTGGTCGTGCGTTGACCTTGGATCTCGGTTATGTAATCATTTGCCAAAGCTTGTGGCTGACGAATGGCCAAACTGCACTATGCGCTGGCCTTGTCTGACAACGAGCGAACTATAGGTGGGTGGGCAGTGACGGAGTCCTGCAAGAATCCTCGAGTTGGCATCTCCTGGTTTGCTACTTCCTCTTGATAACAGCACTTACTGAGCATTCTAGATCTAGAATAGGCAGTGATTAAAACAGGTCATGCAGCTCTCTCCTACCGCTCGAAACTGCGACTCAACCACGCGAGATGGGTGTCGACTGCGGCTTTGATATCTACCCTCCTCTGGAGCGCACGAAGGCAAACCAGGAGCAGTACGAGCTCTTCCTACGCGAGGTGGTCGACACTTACGGGCCGCGGGATAGCGATGACGCAAAACAAAGTGGCGGCGGCAGCGTCTTGCGTGTAAACGCCGAGTCGGAGGAATCCTACATTGACTTCGAGGTTGGCGAACATCCATACTTACCGCGCCAATGTGAGCACTTTCTGCGGTTCAGCTCCAAGATTAGCGGCAGGTCACTCGCTGAGCCATATATCCGAGGAGTCTGCAAGATCGTGAAGCGATAGCTGGGGGACCGCGTTTACTTTTGGCATGAGATGAACGAGTTTGGCCCGCATATTCGCCATTCCGGTTACTACAATTGGAATGAGATTCACGCTACGCGGAGGAAAATAAGGGAGCACAAGCAGCCAGACGAGGGAGAGTGGGGAGAGACAAATATACAGGACGAGGAGCAAGGTGGCGATGGGACGGATAGGATGGCTGACGTGCCAGCTAGCCGCGGCGGACTATATACGATCAAACCCATTACGGGCAAAGGACGGGGCTTCGTTGCTGCTTCTAAGATCTCCAAGGGTATACGTATACTGCTGGAGGTACCGCTCCTCAAAACGCCAGATTCCACTGGAGACATCAGTTCCGCAGAGACCATCGTCTTACGAGAAGTTAAGAGCCTCACGAAAGACTAGCAGCGGGCCTTCTTCGCGCTACAGAATGTGCAAGGACGTAGGTGCACCCCCGTACTAGGCATCGTTATGACAAATATGTTGCCGCTCGGCGCGAGCAACAGCGGTGGACTGTTCCTCGAAGCATCACGCATTAACCACTCGTGCCAGCCCAACGCGCAGTACGCATGGAACGACGACCTCGGCCATCTGACCGTATACGCCCTGTGCGACATCGATACTAATCATGAGATCACCATTTCATATATAAGTGGCGTCTCGCTGGGCTATGCGGAGCGCCAGCGCCATCTGATGGAAGCGTTCTCCTTTGCCTGTATATGCGAACTCTGCTCCCTACCGCTGACTGCACGCAACGATAGTAACTATAGACTGGACCAGATCCGGTCTATCGAAGATGCTGCCACCGACCTGGACCAGGTCCTCGAGCACCCTGCCAAGTCTCTCAGCCAGGTATACCGGATATTCGAGTTGCTAGAAGTGCAGGGCATCTGTGACATAAGCATTGTGCGGGCGTGCTTCAGTACCTTCCAGATCGCAGCCATGGTCGGGGACAAGGCCCGAGCCAAGGTCTTCGCGGAGAGAGCGTATGCCGCTCGGAAGGTGCTTGCGGGCGATGACAACCCGACGACGATCGAGTTCAAGCACCTCGCTGAGCGACCCGTGGACTACCACCTGTATGGTAAGAGGATGAAGTGCTATGACGATAGCTGGGAGGCTCCTCGGGAGATGTGCGGAGAGGATCTTGAAAACTGGCTCTGGAATACGGATGGGTGGTCGAGATACAGTTCCTCTTGATAACTGCAGATGCGGGGAGACTGGGGAAATTGGCTTTGCACAGTAATAAAGATTCAGATACTCTTTGGGTGTGGCTAAAGAATACACATCTTGATAATAATAAAAAAATCCTGTACAGAGTATCTATACCTAAAGCTTCAACCAACAGCCTCACCGTAACAGATTAGTCGCTGGGATACAGATCAGCCAAGCCTTTTCTGGACCGTTGCAGTATTCAAGGGAAATCCAACATGGCCTTCAAAATTATCCCACTTGAGAGAAAACAATCCATTCAAATCGGCATCCTTGAGAAGCTTGCAGTCTGCCTTGTGGCCTTTCTCATTCCAGCCAGCGCTCTGACAGGCCTTATTATAATAAAGTTAGCATCCTAGCGAGATACGATGAGCTCAGATAACAGGCTTACCCCGTTGCAGTACCAGAAGAGTGAGTACCTGGTACACTTCATCAAGGAGGCTGCCCGCTTACCGCAGCCGTGACAGGGTCTTGTACCATTCATTTCCGTCGAGAATTGTTGGACCCGGTCGCTCAATGCTAGCAAACTGTTTAGGGATAGTGGAAATATCTGGTGGGAACATATTGTTAGAAACGTAGACTAAGTTTGTGGTCTTGATAACAATGGTAATCGTACCTTGATATTCGTATGCTCCTCATGACGGATTCCCCTTTCAGAGGTCATGAATGTGTGACGCTGCGCGTAGAGAATCGCAGCGGTGTACCCTTTCCGGACCTGTGCAGGCGCCAATTCACTGCTCCGCCCGTCCGTGTAGAAGGACAGCGATCTGTCTCCGGACAGTACGAATTGAAAGTCTGACTGTCCGCAATTTCGATTGATAAGCCTGATTCTGCTGCGACTTCTAGTACGATCACTACTTGGTAAGGGTATATATAATTGTATGATAAGCCTAATTCTGCCGCGTTTTCTAATATTATTATTACTTAGTAAAAATATGTATAATTATATAATAAGCTTTAAATTTCTATTTAAAAAAACTCTAAAATATAAAATAAAGAAATATATATATAAGAATTTAAAATAGTTTTAATAATATAATAATTATATATTTAAATAAAAATTATAGCTTTATTTATTTTTATATATTAAATTAATATTTTTATTTTTATTATAAAAGAAAAGCTAATTTAATAAGAAATAAGAAAAAATAAAGCTAAAATCTTAATTAATAATTTTAATAAAAATCTAATAACTAATAATATATTAATTTTTTATTATAAGCTTTTAATTTATAACTTATAACTTATAATTTAATATAAAAATATCCGCTTTATTAAAAATTATAAAATACTTATATATTATACTTATATATTATTTTTTCATTTCTTATAACTTTTTTATTATTTAAATTTAATTTTTTTTATAAATATAAGAAGAAAAAATATAAAAAATAAAATAAAGTAATAAAATATAAAATATAAAATATAATATAAAGTAATAATTATAAATATAATTAATTTTGAAAATTAGCTTTTATAAAAAATTAATTAATATTTATTTTTAAAGCTTTATATATTTTTTATTATATTTTTTAATATTTTACTAAATATATAAAAGTATTAATTCTAATTAAGAAATATAATCTTATATAAATATTATTTAAATTTAAATTTAAATTTAATTATTATTAGTATAGCTATTTCTTTAGAAATTATATATATAATTACGGGATATAAAATACGAGATATAGATAATAAAATATAAAATACGAGATATAGTTATATAACTTTATATCTTATAAGTAACTCGACTAGTAAACTAGTATAAGGCACGTAATAGCAGGGTAATATACAAGTAGTTAAGGTAAATAAGCTACGGAGTAATACTTGCAAGTATAACTGATTCCAAGAATTAATTCTAATAAGAAACTAATTAATGCCCTTTCTAAAGCTAGGAGCGTCTCCCTATATATTTCCTAGTACTTAGCCGGGTATACGAAGCCCTTTACTTAATTAGGAAATCCCATATAATCTATATAATTCCGATTGCAAGCTATACCCAAAATAGGAAACTAGATCTATAATATCTAATACCTATCTATATACTATTATATATACCTATTATATTAATTCCCCTTCTGGGCCCTTATTTCTAAGAGGCCTGGGAAAACTATAAATAGCTTTATAAATATTTCCTTGAAACTTTCCTGGCTACTAGCTTTCCCCAAAGACTCCCTATAATTACCCTATTATTATATTAGGTAATAGAGTTAAAAATATAGTTTACTAATCCTTTCTAGCTAATTTGTAAATTGCCTCTGGCAATTTCCCCTTATAAAGATAATATAAATATAGTATATATTATTAGATATAAAGCTTATCCGATCTCCTAATTAATTCGTAAATCCTAACTTAGCTTCTATTTATAAATAAATTATTACTCTATAGGCCCAAGAGCTTGGAAAAGTTAATCCGATTTTCTAGTTTATTTATAAATCCCTTTTTTGGAATTTTCTGGATATTTCTGGTATAGAGCCGGTTCCGAATTCGTAATTACTATTCGGGAAGAGGATATTATAAAAAGGCCTCCCTTTTCCTATTAACTAACCTTCCTTTTCCTTAACTATAATATCGTATCCAGCTTCTCCTTATTTCTTGCCTTCCTTTTTTAAGCTTTCTTTAAGCTCCTTTAAGCTTCTTTAAGCCTTATTTAAGCTTTATTTAAGTTCCTTTCTAATTCCCTCTTCTATTTCTTTATCTATTAAGATAAATACTTCTCTTAGTACTTATTAGCTTATTACTATCTATTTGGCTAATACTTCTATATTCTTGATTTACTCTTACTATCTTTAATATTCTAAGAATATTACTAAGTTTCCTGACCTTACTTATATTAAGAGTAATAATTACTTGGTATATAATTACTACTATTCCAAGAATAAGAAATATAATCCTATAAGTTATAAATTCCTTCTTTTATTTCTTATTTTAATACTATCTAAGGTTCTTTAAATATATATAATATGGTTAAACCACTTTTTTTAAGCCATTAATATATATAAGTATCTTCCTTATCTTTTACCCGAAAAAGAAAAGGCTATTATTATTTTTCTTCTATACCAAACTATATATACTTCTTATATTAAAGCTATTATCCGAGGCTAATGAATTCCCCTAATAATCCAAGAAATAGATTAAGTAATTCTTACTAGCTTAGTATAAGTATAAAGTACTCTTAATAATATAGTTAATATTTTTCGGTATTAAATAAGCTTACTTCTTTCTTATTTCTTACTAATAGCTAATAGCTTTATAGGCCAATTTACTACCTGTTTCTCGAGAGAATCCTAATAAGAATAATAATAAAAATAATAGAGAATAGTTATAAGAGTAGGATATTTATAGAATATAGAAATTAGAGTTTTTAATAATTTTCATATGGTTTTTCCAAGAATAAATATATGGTTTTTTAATAGTTTCCTAATAAAAGCATTTATCTTTTATACCTCTATTTGGCTAATAGTATTATAATATTGCTTTTTTCCAAGTATTCTTATAATTCTTAAGCTATATTCTCTAGATTACTTAGTAATTCCTATATATTATTTACTAGTAAGTAGTTCTTCTAATAAACGAGATACTTTCTTCCTTTTTTATCCTCCCTATAGGCCATAATAGATTCTATCTCGAATTCCTTTTTGCCCTTAATCTTAACCGGCTCTGGTTTTACTATAGTATTAGCTTGCAGGTACTATAGTTCTAAGAGAGAAATATAGAAAATATTATGAATCTAATATAATAGTAGTAATTCTAAGTAGTATACCTATTTATATATTTCTATAACTTCCAGAACTTTAAAGGGGCCGAGATATCTATCTGCTAGCTTTATACTAGGTTATAGCTATTAAATATTCTTTATATAAAGTATGACTTTATTATATATCTTAAACTTCTTATTAATATATTTCTTATTATAGTACTTTTTCTATATATCTATTATTTCTTGCTATTATTTCTCTAGTATCTCCTGTTCTACTTAAATCCTTTATACTTTTTCCTATACTACTAGTGCCTCTTCTTTTAGAATATTATCCTTAATATATAGTTTAATACTAGAATAAAATTCATATAAGGTATAAAATGGAAATATTCCTATTATTAAATATATAGAGTTATTATATATGAATTCTATAAAAGTAAGCTTTACTACCTAGTTATTTTACTAGTAGCTAGTATAGTATCTTAAGTATTATTCTAGAGTTTAATTCAGATTCTTTGTTTATTTATTAGTTTATAGGTGAAATACTATACTCAGCTATTATTAAATCTTTAAGTAAAAGTATAGACTTAACTAGAACTTGCTTATAAAGATAGATTCTTTATTAGAGGTTATACCCGCAGATATACTAAAGTCTTTAATAATATAATATATAAATAGCTCTACTAGCTCAGGAGCCGAGATCTCCTTAGTAGTCGGAATATATTATATTATTTTTATATATCTATTAATAATAATAAGTATAGAATTATATATTTTACTATAAAATCTAGAAGGAAATAGCCCCATAATAAAGTCTATAGTAATTTCTTGCTATAGCTTAAAGGAAAGGGGAAATAAATTAAGTATATTATATAGCAGATATCTCTTTATTTTAGTCCGTTAATATATAAGACAGGTTCTAATATAGTCTTTTATATTCTTTCTTATACTTTGCCAGAAGTATTTTCTCTAGAGGATCTCTAGTATCTTGCTAGTACTAAAATACCTACCTATAAGATTATTATAGTTAGCTTATAGTAATTCTTCTTTAAGAGCCGGCTTATTTAGTATATAAATAATATCCTAATATCTTAATAACCCAGATATATTAAGTTCCCAAGTCTTAATAGCTCTAGTAGAGGTTCCCTTTAAGAACTATTCGTACTACCGGTATTATACTAATAGATTGAGCCTTTAGTACTATAATAGTAGTTTAAGTAATATCTCTCTGCTTTCCTTATATACTATTTTGGACCTAGCTGCCTATATAGCTAGAATCCGTAGTATATATTATTTATAACTAGTTATACTAGTAATAGGCTCAAGTAGTAATATTTCCGGTATTACTCTATTACTAAAATGAACTTTCTCTTCGGAATTCCTTAGTATCTTACTAATTAAGAAGTACTTACCTCCTCTTTCCTGGGCCTTATATTACGGTATTATAGGAATAGTATAGTATTCTATTACTGCTATTTATAGGGTTCTCTATTCTATATTCTATAGCTTATTATAAAGTATAAGTAATAAAGTATCTTTATCTATACCTATTATAAAGTCTGGCCTCCTTAATAGCCTATTAGCAGAATTACTATATCCTGGCTAGTATTCTAAGATAAAGTCAAAAGTAGCTAGCTTCTTTACCTATCTTATTTATTAATTATTTAGTTTTCTCTTAGTTATAAAGTATTTCAAGTTATTATAATCTGTTTTAATAATAATAGTATACCGGATATATATTAGGTAATACTACTAAGTACGGAATACTAGAATAATAGCTAAAAGTTTAGAGTTATATATCTTATACTTACTCTTAATTATAATTATTTTTTTTAAATAGAAAGTAATAGGGTACTATTTGGCTTCTGCCCTCTTACTAAAGAACTAGGAAATCATACCTGTAATTACGAATCCTAAAGTATTTGTTTCTATATAAATCTTTAAGGCTAGGTCGAAATAATAAAGAATTAGTACTATTATAAATATAATTTATGGTTTCCTAAAAGCCTTATTTGCCTTATTTATCTAGTTAAACTAATATAGTAGTTTTCTGCCAGTTTTTA